GGAACCCAGAAGGGAATCTAGGGAGAACAAGCATTCCAAGAGAGCTATGCAGAAATTGCATGGCCTTTGTGACCTAGCCTTCCAAGCCACACAGCATCGATTCTAGCATACTTTATCAGTGAAAGCAGTCATAAGTCCATCCCATTCAAGGGAGGAAGACAAACAGTCCCTTCTCAATGGGAGGCATCACAAAAATTCAGGGCACTCTTTTAAAACCATCATAGCAGATTCTGCACCCAGCGCTAGTATTAAGCAAGCTGAGCCTTGCCTAGAGAACTTCTATGTTGCTGACTCCACGCACAGTCTCCATTCCTGCCACCAGGTACTTTGTACAATGGCCAATGGAGCAAGCACTGGATGGCTGGGAAAAGAGGCTGACAGACACCCACAGAACAAGCCACTTTGCCCACCTCCTCTATACGGTGTGGCCATTGGTGACCATTCACATGAGATGAAAATCTCCACACTCTGTATCCATTCTTCATCCGTATTATCCATATCCATTCTTCATCCAATATTCATATGGATATTCATCTATATCCCTCTTCTCCCAATCTTGTCACCAATCTTCCAGTTATTTTCTTTTCAAGTTACCAACCATCCAGCCAAATTGCTAGCCTGTTAGCAACCACCCATGAGACAGTGGAGATTTATACTCAGGATGTCCCTTAATCCAGACACAGAGGACAACCAAATGCACAACTCAACATTCTGCTCACTGGAAGGGTTTCCTTCACCACTGTCCCTCAGGGCCACCACTGGGACAGACTGCATTGCTGCAGCTGTCTACTTTGGGTTGGTGCCATCACAGCATGCAGAAGCACCTGCAGCTCAGCCTGAGCTTTTCCTCCTCATTCATGAGAAACTCCCATAGGACCATCGATGTGGATGGGGAAAGAATGCAGTGCAGCAGGAATTGGTCTCAAAGGAGTCTGAACCACCTTCATGTGCAACTTACTTATGGTTTCCAAACCTGCTCAGATTCAGTGTCATCTGCCCCATTTCTACTTAATAATACAGTGCTGCTGTGCAGGCCTAACTTCATGGTTTGGTGGATCAGATAATATCCAGCTCATGATGGAAAGCTCAGGTTCTGTGGTCACTTGTCCTAAGTTAGGTGTTCAGTCTCAACCAGGGCCCAGTAGCAAATAAATTTTTTTCTCAAAAAATTGGCAACTAAAGGACTTGCTACTTCCTGTTCATCAGATCCAATTATAGAACATCACCAATGTAGTGGACCGGTATGACGCTGTGTACAACATCAGGACAATCAAGATCTATATTATGGCACATAACAAAGAGGCTGACCAGCCCTGAAGCGGGACTGTGAAGACATACTGTTCACTCTGCCTGGTAAAAGTGAAACTGGCACAGCCTCTACTATTATGAGACCCTATCATTAAGTTCCTACAAGGGAGCCCAGTTCTACAACCACATTCGCACCTCAGCTCCACCCTACAGCGACACTAGTTACCCGCTCAGTGATGCTTGCCCTTACTCATTTCTTATTTCTTGATAAATGGAATCTTTCGGGCTCTTCCGAAGAACCTGGTGGATAGGTTTTCTAGCCTAATACAGTAAACCCATTTGAACACGTCTACTCCCTCAGAAACTCTTGGATCTCTTCCTCTACAAGCTGTCACAACAATCTTGACATCTCATTTCTTTAATATGGGCCATTACTTTTTCCACGTATGCAAGAGTTGTTAACAGCAGTGGATTAGAATCATCTCTTGAAGCCCTTACAAGGGTATTGAATCCTATGTCGTAAGTTTTGACAACTCTCGCTTATCCAACTTTGTATTCAGCCTGTAATCCAGCACCACCAGGATCTACTCCCAGACATGCTCTCCTGATTCACAGCAGTGCAGGTCCTGAGCACCTTTGCCACATAATCCTTCTCTCTACTTGGCAGGCCAGCCAGTAAAGTGATGACTCCAGTAAAGTGATACCAATATTTGCCCCAGGATATTGGTTGGATGGGCAGGAAGGAATATGGGGACACATGCTGAGGAGGGGAAGCTTTGCTTGGTGGCTTCCTACATCCTCTGAGGCCTCTGCATTATCTTGACCTCGTGTCTATCTTCCAGTAAGGGAAAGCGGTCCCTTTCCGCAGGCCCAAAGGTTCTGAGGAATCTAAGACATAAGGTTCTCAAGTGTATTTAAATAAATACCCCCATTCCAGTTAAGGCCATAATCCTTCCCTGACTTTGCATAGGAGGTTTTCCTAGACTGAGAATTCAGCCTTCTCTGATACTCTGCCAATCTTATAAGTTCTGTGCCTATTCTTCAGCTGTGTCAACCCTGCAGCTCCAGGACATGAAAGTGTCTTTAAAAGCTACCAAGAATATCTCCTACGTCTTAGGCTTTGTGAATTGTTCTGGTAGAAACACCACCAGCTCAGTCTTAAAGGGGTACAGACAGTATACAATGAAGAGTCCTCTGGACCTCACACCTTTTATGAGCAGGAAGCAGGTTGGAAGGATACTCCACTCCAAAGTCAGTTTTCTTAGTTAAAACAAAAAACAAAGGATGATTCAGAGGATGACACAGAACCCAGAGCCAAGAGCTTTGACACATTTCTAGGAAGCTGTACTGATCCTTAGTCAAGATAGGGGGCCATGTGTCCAGTTGCATTTCAGAATTGCTGTAGACTGAAGCATCCCTTTCTGAATGGGAATGTTGACTGCGATTCCCTTTTTGTCCCACCGCTGTATGATCAGTGTGGATGGCTGGTAACTTGACTTTAAAAATGTTTAGAGGCTGAGTGTGGAGGTTCACGCCTGTAATCCTAGCACTTTGAGAGGTCAGGGCAGGCGGATTGCTTGAGCTCAGGAGTCCAAGATCAGCTTGGGTAACATAGTGAAATCCTGTCTCTACAAAAAATACAAAACATTAGCTGGGTGTGGTGGCACATGTCTGTAGTCCCAGCTACTTGGGAGGCCGAGGTGGGAGGATGGCTTAAATACAGGAGGTTGAGGTTGCAGTGAGCTTAGATGGCACCACCGCACTGCAGCCTGGGTGACAAAGACCCTGTCTCAAAAAAAAAAAAAAAAAAAAAAAAAAAAAAAATTAGATTAAAAGGACTCAACACCTGAAGAACCTCATGTGATAAGATCCTGGACCTCAAGCCTGAGCCCGATACTGTAATGAGATGAAACTTTTGGAGAAATCTTGGGGGATAAGTTACTTTTGCATGTGGAAGGAATATTTTGTGGCCAAAGATCAAACTGTGACAATTTTAAAACATGGTCCAAAATTCTTTGACATTATATGCCATCTTTAGGATAGTGGGAAGTCATTTCCTGTCACCCCTATTACCTAGTCCCTTAGCCCTTCCTCCAAAAACTGTCCTACTTACTGTCCTTGTTGGATTCCTGTCCAATGTGTTTTTTTGCTGAATGGTCAGAGACCATTTTCTAGTAGCATAAAACCAAATACAGCCAGGAACTTTAAAGTCCTGTTTCAAATCCTCTCCCAAACCAGGTCCCAGACACAGATTTCAGCTAAGTTCCAATCTGGTTTTTACCCTAGTGAGCCAAGATTCAGTTATCTTTTTTTTTTTTTTTCTTCCAGTTATCTATCTTCCTTGCCAATCCTAGTGTCCCAGCTTCTTCCAAGATGTCTCTACCCGACTAACTAGGGTAGTAGGATAGTTCTTGATCCAGGATGCACATTACAACCACTTGAGGAACTCTTCAAACAATACGGACAGTTTTGCCTACAAATTCAATAGAACTTCTAAGCCCTGGGTGTGTAATACAGGTTGAAAACATGATCTTGACACTGTCAAAGCCAGGGTACACACTTTATCTCCAACTTTCATTTTAACTCAATATAGCTTTTCATTACTCTTACAAGTAGGTGCTCCTCCTGTCAGTTTAGAAGCAATAGTAAGATTGCCTGACACCATTTTTATTTACATAATAGTTATAATAAAAGGGAAGGACCTTAGCTGAGTATGGTGGCTCATGCTTGTAATCCCAGCTACTCAGGAGGCTGAGGTGGGAGGACTGCTTGAGCCCAGGAGTGTGAGTATACAGTGAGCTATGAAGGTGCCACTGTACTCCAGCTTGAGTGACAGCAAGACTCCATTTCTTAAATTAAAAATTAAAAAAAAAAAAACATAAATAACTTGCATAAGAATTATTTAACAGGAATCAATCATACTCTTGTTTAAACATATTTATTAAAATGTCTCTTTTTGGCCAGGTGCAGTGACTCACGTCTATAATCCCAGAATTTTGGGAGGCCAGGAGTTCCAGACCAGTGTGGACAACATGGCAAAACCTAACTCTACTAAAAATACAAATAATTAGCCAGGCATACTGGCGCACTTGTAATCTTAGCTATTCAGGAAAGCTAAGGCAGGAGAATTACTTGAACCTGGGAGGCGAAGACTGCAGTGAGCCGAGATCGTGCCACTGCCCTCCAGCCTGGGTAGCAGAGCGAGACTCCTGTCTCAAAGTCTCTTTTTTATTCTCACTTCACAGCTGAAAAAAAGATTACAGGTTGACCGCCTGTTCTCTGAAATGCTTGGGACCAGAAGTGTTTTAGATTTTGGAATATTTGCATTATACTCCAAAACCCAAAACCCAATGCTCCAATGAGCATTTCCTTTGAGTGTCATGTCAGCAGTCAAAAAGGTTCAGATTTTGGAGCATTTTGAATTTTGGATTTTGAGATTAGGGATACTAAACCTGTACTGCTAAAGACCTTGCAGCTAGTAAACGGCAGGGTATGATCTGAACCAGACACATGTGGTGCTTCCATCAGGCCGTTGCCGGAAGTCACTTTACTGAGAAAGCAATCAGCATCAGGCATGTGCTGTCACAATGCTTGTGCTGTTTAAATTCAATGTAGACATATCTGCATTTGAAAATGCAAGTACTGTCTTTATAAGGCCTTTGAAGACCAGAGTGATTTCTACAGTTAACTCAAAGTGCTAATAGCTAAAAAGCAGAAGTTATTCCAAAGTTTGCATGAACAAAACTCACAAGAAAGTTATAAAAATATTTTATTTAAATGGCACAGAAAAAAATATATATACTTAAAATGATTAAACATTCACATTAGGAAATTCTAAAAACTCAATAATTTACACAATGATAAAATCTAAAGTGATGAAAAAACATAAAATGCTTTCATTTGGTCCTGTTACCTAACAAAACTACCATAAACACGAGATTACAGCAATTACTGAAGCTGGTTAAAGGCACATGACAACATAATTCCTTTATACACATTCGGCCATTTTAGACATCCTTGTCTAAATCCCTCAAATGGAAGAGTGAACAATTTATTTAAAATATTAAGAGTGCATTATGCACCTATAATGAAACCACTTTCTCCAAAGAATCAACCAGATTAACATTGCAAAATAGTATTTCTATATCACTGACTTCTGAAAATTTTAATAATTTAAGAATATGCAAGTGAAATATAATTTATTCTGGTTTCCCAGGAAACCACTTCATAGTTGCAAAAACACAGTGTAGCTTTTCTGTTAGGGTCTGTCATGCTTTCAGCTAGCTGGATGTTTAATCATTCACTTCACATTGACATGTACAGTCAGGCACAGTGGCATGGGCCTGTAGTCCCAACTACTTTGAAGGCTGAGGCAGGAGGATCACTTGATCCTAGGAGTTCAAGGCCAGCCTGGGCAACATAGAAGACCCTGTCTCTTAAAAAAAAAAAAGTATATGTCCTTAAATCTGAAAGAAAACCAGCATTCATGTACCAAATAAAACATTATATCTTAAACTATTGCATTTAACACTAAAAAGCAGAGTTCACTCTGCTGAGCGAACTCTATCTCCATTACCAATTATAAATTCATGTAAGAGTAAGAGCTCCCAGACATCTGTAAAATCTCAAACCTGAAGAGTTAAAGACTTCACAACATGAGAAGGGGAGGGGTGGGTGATGGGGTCGGGTGAGGAAGTGTTCTGAGATGTGCGGGATTCCTCCGGGCCCAGAGGTGCTGGTGGCACCACGTGTGTACAGGAAAGAAGGGTCTCCCATGAGGGCTCCCAGTGATCCCAAGACACAGCAAGATGCATGGAGACTGGAGACACTGGTATGGGCAGGGATGTGCTAGCAACTATGTTCAGACTGCTAACAGTGAGACTACATCCATTTCTTCTTCACTTGGTTACCACTGACTTTTCTTTAACATCCCACAGGGAGAATACACTGTTTGTTAGCAGAAATGTCAGTTTTCATTAGCTCCTTGAAAATTTAGTGTACTAACTTTTATTTCCATGGGCCTCAGTTTCCACATCTGTAAACTGCTGTATAAAGCAGATTTCCTGCAAGTTCTGATGTAAGTGACCTGACAGGAGGCACTATCTTTGTCCTTTTCACCATGCCCCTAAGCATCTGGAGTATTCTCAATATATACTTATTTAATAACAGAATTTTCTGACACTCAGATAACAGCCTCCACTGTGTAAGGCAGCAGATCTCAGGATGGGGTGATGTGTGGGGAGGCAGAAATTCTATAAATAACATCAAACAAAAGCTGATTGTGTCATCCAACACATTTTTATGAGGAATCCAGGACAGTTAGAAGATGGCAGAATTTTTTTCCCAATTGGGTAAAACTGTCCATTCTTCCTGTATTCCCATTTCTTCAGAATGATCTAGTCAACAGTCATTTAAGTTGACAGAAATTAATATAATTTCAATATAAAATAGTCTAATGTATGAATTTAACTATATTGAAAGGTACAATCCTGTCCTTATGAGGTCTTTGAAAGGCAGGGTACTTTCTCTAAAAAGTAGTCACTTAGAATCAACTTTTACAAAAGAAAAGAGTCTCAGCCCCCACCCCTCCAGCCTGGGCAACATGGGGAGACTGTTTCCACAAAAAAAATTTTTAAATTAGCCAAGCATGGTAGCACATGTTTGTAATACCAGCTACTTAGGAAGCTGAGGTGGGAGGATCGTTTGAGCCCCCAGGTGGTCAAGGCTGCAGTGAGCTGTGATCATGCCACTGTACTCTAATCTGGACAACAGAGTGAGACCCAGTCTCAAAAACCAAAGGAGTCTCAGTCCCTTCTATCTCAGAGTTCAACAGATGGACAATTCTAGTGTGGACAACTCTGGTGTCAACATGACTGAAAATAATTTACAAATAGTCTGTTACAGCTCCAAACTACTGAAAATTGTCATAAAAGACATGTTTCAAACGAGTTTATTATCAGAAAAACCATTCCAGATATCTTACCTTCAGAAATCATCCAAGGAGTGAGATAAACATTACAACCCCCATAAACTGGGTAAACAACAACAACGGAGTGAAAAATGACCACACGTGCCATAAAGCAATGTTGAAGCTGAAAAGAACAAAAACAGTTGACAACTCTAATATACATAAATATATTTCATTCTAGAATCTAGATTTAAAGAATTCAAAGTGGAAAAGTTCATCCAGTCAGGAACTTTCTATATGTATCTGTATTTCTCAGCTATGTGACTTAGCCAATGTTGGAAAGGAAAACTCCAGATATACAATCACAATTTCTTCAAGAAGGCCCTGGAACTGGACTGAAGGTCTCCTAAGAGGAGTTGACATGGCTTCAGAGAAACTTAAGTCTCTTAGTTCCTGCACCTGAACAAGAATTTAAATGGCTACAGCCCGTTTTCATGACATCACACACTAAATTATCATGGTAAAAAAGACCAAAGTATTTTCTTAAAAACCGAATGAAAGGGCCTGACGCGGTGGCTCACACCTGTGATCCCAGCACTTTGGGAGGCTGAAGGTGGATCACGAGGTCAGGAGATGGAGACCATCCTGGCTAATTCAGTGAAGCCTCGTTTCTACTAAAAAACAATACAAAAAATTAGCTGGGCACGGTGGCACGCGCCTGTGGTCCCAACTACTCAGGAGGCTGAGTGAAGTAGGAGGATCACTTAAGCCTGAGAAGTCAAGGCTGCAGTGAGCTGTGACTGCGCCACTGCACTTTAGCTTGGGTGACAGAGTGAGACCCTGTCTCAAAAAAAAAAAAAAAAAAAAAACTCCAATTGATATAAAGAGAGAAAAAACTAAGAGCTACATACAACATGAGAAAAGTAGTTTTCTCTCTGGTTGAATTACAGGATGTACTTCCTTTGTGTTTTTCTGTAATTTACACATTTTTTTCCCTCAATGAACAAGTATTACTTTTATAAACCCAAAAAACCCTGTATTTTTCAACTTATGAAGAAGGATAGTCATTGTGGCATTGCTTGAGTACAAACATAACTAAGTCCAACAACAGAAAACAGGTTAAATAAATCATGATATGTCCATTTTATGAAAACTACACAACTGTTTAAAAGAATGAGACACATCTCTATGTACCATATGGAAGAATCCAAAACTATAAGGATCCACTGAAAAATAAAAGAAAAAAATGATGAACAACCACTTTGGAAAGCAGTTTGGCATGATTTAATGAAGTCAAAGGTATGCATACCCTATGATCCAACAATTTTACCCCTTGGGGTATACACACACACACACACACACACACGCACATGTGTATACATATGTATATGTGTGTGTGTGTGTGTGTGTGTGTGTGTGTGTACCCTAAGGGGTAAAATTATGTATATGTGTGTGTGTGTGTATGTGTGTGTATGTGTGTGTGTAGGTATACCCACACCTCTACACCCAAAAGAAATGTGTGCACTGTGCTACAAGAGCCATGTATAAGGATGTTCTTCATAGCATCTTTCATAGTAATCCCAAATTGGAAAAAATCTAAACACAATCAACAACGGAAAAGAGGGCCAGGCACGGTGGCTCACGCCTGTAATCTCAACACTTTGGGAGGCCAAGGAGGGCAGATCATGAGGCCAGGAGATCGAGACCACCCTGGTCAACACAGTGAAACCCCATCTCTACTAAAAATACAAAAATTAGCTGGGTGTGGTGGTGTGTGCCTGTAATCCCAGCTACTTTGGGAGGCTGAGGCAGGAGAATCACTTGAACCAGGGAGTCAGATGTTGCAGTGAGCCGAGATTGCGCCACGGCACTCCAGCCTGGCAACAGAGTAAGACTGTCTCAAACAAAACAAAACAATGGAAAAGAGAAATTGGGATTCAGTTATACAATGGAATACTAAACAGCAACGAAGATGAGTAAACAGGCAACAATATGAAAGAATTGCACATAATGCTGCACGTGGGCAGCTACGTGTGAAAGAACACACCCTGTATGAATCTATTTCTATAAAGTTCAGAAACATAGATGAAGCAAAAATAGAATACTTCATGGAAGCAAAGCAAGAGTTACCATGAAGGTGAAGGCAGTATTTGTTCACCTGTGGCAGGACGGAAGGTGGAGGAACTGGGAGGGAGAATAAAGGGGGTTCACAGTGTGCTGGCTCCATTTACACCAATGCTCACTTCATGTGAGTTCATCCACTAATTCATTTTAGTTTTTTCCACTTGTCTACATGTATTGTATGTCATAATAAAAAAGATTTAAAAAGCAATATGTAGACTATGTAGAGAATGTCACCATTTGTGCTTTAAATAACTAGGTCCATAAATAGAAGGGGAAAGAGATACTAATGAAAAGGCAACTAGGGAGCAGGAATGACCAGGAGACTATTTTTCTGTTGTATTTTTTTTTCTTTCAAAGTTTAGACCAAGTATATCACTATCTGATCAAAACAAAAATTGTTTTTCATTCCCGTTAGTCATTCAAAGTTAACTTACCAAATTCCTGCTGCAATAAAGGCGGCAGTGGTAATGGGAATCAGGGCTGGATACTTGACATCATATTCTCCAATTCCACAATACCACTCCAGGTAGACTATGCAGTAAAACGCAATTGATAAGCTAATAAGCAACAAGGCACTGCCACAGAGAAACCAGCTGCGGAGATAAAAACAGTAAGAGGGCTGACAGCACTTAATGAATCATCGGATGTCTTAAATGTTTTTATCAACAGCTGAAAAATCTATTTTTTGTTGTTGTTGTTTGAGACCAAGTTTTGCTCTTGTTGCCCAGGCTGGAGTGCAATGGCATGATCTTGGCTCACAGCAACCTCTGCCTCCCGGGTTCAAGCAATTCTCCTGCCTCAGCCTCCCTAGTAGCTGGGATTACAGGCACCCGCCACCATGCCCAGCTACTTTTGTATTTTTAGTAGAGACAGGGTTTCTCCGTGTTGGTCAGGCTGGTCTTGAACTCCCAACATCAGGTGATATGCCCGCCATGGCCTGCCAAAGTGCTGGGATTACAGGAGTGGGCCACCGCACCCAGCCATGAAATCTATTTCCAAGAAGTATGTCAAGTGGTACAAAGGGACCCAGGCTTTCAGAAAGTCTCAATCCATGGGAGACAGGGGTGAGAAAAAGAGACACACGACTCAGGAAAGGATGAAAAGTAAGACTTGAAATACATGCATTTATATACACTCTTATCAACCAACCAACCAAGGGAAAAGCCTGGTCACAGTAACGCATTTTCTTTAAAAATACAAGGAAGAGGCCAAGCACGGTGGCTCATACCTGTAATCCCAGCACTCTGAAAGGCCAAGGCAGGTGGATCACCTGAGGTCGGGAGTTCAAGACCAGCCTGACCAACATGGAGAAATCCCATCTCTACTGAAAATACAAAATTAGCCAGGTGTGGTGGTGCATGCCTGTAATCCCAGCTACTCCAGGGGCTGAGGCAGGATAATCACTCGAACCCAGGAGGTAGTGGTTGCAGAGAGCCAAGATCACACCATTGCAATCTAGCCTGGGAAACAAAAGCAAAACTCCGTCTCAGAAAACTAAAACGAAAACTAAAAATACAAGGAAGACAGTGGCTTTCTGGCTGTTTCTGAAGTTTCGAGTGTGACAGTATTACAGAAGTTTATCAGTGGGAAACTTAATTTCTCTAAGTTAAGTGGACTTTCTTGGAATACCGAAAGACAACCTGGAAGATCAATAATTCCAATTTTCTCTCATAAAATATTTCTAAATGAAATCTTCCCATTTAGAAAATCTGCTACCCACCGTCTCATCCTCAATGGTAATGCCTTTTTATTCCCTTCCAATTCCACCTATGATCTGATTCAGCCAGTGTGAGGCAACCTAGACAACCCCTCCCTTCCACCCCAGCTGGACTGGGGACCGAAGTCCCTTTCCCTTTCTCCCAACTCAACCCAATACCCCACCAGCATCTGCTTCTCTATGGGGAAAAGCCTGACAGTCCATGTTAGAGAGAGAGAACAGATGGCTACAACAGTTAAGTTACAAAGTCACAACGTGAACCGCCAATAATGGCAAGGTTCTGGATTCCATGAAGGCTTTTTGTGAGGATGCAATTCTGAGATTCAGAGTTTTGAGAGGCAGTATAGTGAAGGGATTACGAGCACAGCCTTTGCTGTATAGATTTGAATCTCAGCTTGAGCAAGACTAGTTTTGTGACTCTAGGCAATTTCCTAACCTCCCTGTGTTTCAGAAATACTGACAGTACTTAACTCAGAATAGCTGTGAGAATTACATCAGGTAGTCAGCAAAATGCTTCTCACAGCTAACCCTAAATCACAATCACTATTATTCCACTCATCCATATTCCACAATCATTATTTTCCAAAGCAAAGAAAAAAATCTGGCTCTAATTGTATGTATAAACCACAGATATGCATGCAGTATGTAAGCAAATATATAGTTTATCTGTGGTATTAAAATTCCACATTCCACAGGGACGATTAGGAAAAACATGTCTAAAAAGACTTCTTAGTGGTGATGATAAAAGGTTGAAGAGTACATGCTGGTGAAGGACATAAGAAAACTTAAAAAGCTACCTGAACAAAATATAATGCCATCAGTCAGTGGTCCTCAAGTCTGGCTTTATATCACAGTCACCTTGCACCTTTCTAAGAGAAACTACCTAGTCCCGGTTTACACAATTCTCAGTCTGAGCATCTGGGATTTTAATTTTACTTTTTGCTTTTAACTCCACAGTTGATTTTGATGCACACAAGCAGAGTTTTTTAAACTGTGATTTTTTTTAAAGCATCAGTGTTTTGTTTTTAATACGAACCTGCTCATCTATCTTTGAACAATATAAAAAACCTTAAGGCCTCAAGCTTCTGAACCTAGGCTACAGCCAGGGGAAAAAGAAATTACCTCAGGTGTCAGAGAATGAGCCTTTTTGCCATTTTCAAAAAGCAGAACTCAGCCGGCACTGTCTTTTATGCAGCCTTCTCATTTCATGGCTGCTCAACACCCCCTAACTCCCTTTAATGAGTCCTTCCCAAGAAAACAATGTGACTCAACATTCTCAGCCTTTGAGAATGCATTATGCCTTTTTCTCTCTAAGATGACACCTTTTTGAGGAAGATCTATGACTTCTACTTTCTTTCCAACACCCACAGCCCTGGTCCCAGTGTCTGCGTCGTGGCTTTGCCACTCAGCAGCTGTGTGGTCCCAGGCACTCCAGTGAACTACTGCAGTTGCCCCCACACATCTTATGTGTGATCATTTCTTACTCTGCCATTTCTTTAAACTTCTAAAAATACCCAATATAAGCACACAAAGAAGTTCTCTCACATCTCCTAACACCTCAAAAACGTCTCAGACCCAAGACTGACCTGGACTAGATACCCCTCCAAGATGCTCCCATAGTACCCTGTGCCCTTCACTTACAGAGCACACACCATGAGGCCTGGTAACTTGTCTGCTGCAGACTAGGAGCTGTTGGAGAGCTAGAAATGCACCTTCCATGTGTTTGGCTCCCACAGCCAAACACATCTCAGGTTCCATAAAGTAACTGATGAAGGAAAGAGCAGCTGCTATTGGTGTTGGTTAAAGCACCCATCCCTTCCAGCCAGGTGCCGTGGCTCACACCTATAATCCCAGTACTTTGGGAACCTAAGGTGGGAGGATCACTTCAGCCCAGAAGTTTGACACCGGCCTAGGAAACATGAAGAGACCTCGTCTCTACAAAAAATAAACAAAATTAGGAAGCATGGGGGTGTGCACCTATAGTCCTAGCTACTTGGGAGGCTGAAGTGACAGGATCACTTGAGCCTGGGAAGTCAAGGCTGCAGACAGCCATGATCACACCACTACACTCCAGCCTGGGTGACAGAGTGGAGCAAGGCCCTGTCTCAACGTCAAAAATAAAGTATCCATCTCTGTCTTCCCAGCCCAAGTTCTAAGAGCAATGACTGAGTCAAGCTGATGAAGATTAAATGTCCATTATACTGATGCAGCTGTGGGAAGAATATGGCTTTGGTGAGCGGTGACAAGCAATTCCTAATACTGAGACCCAGAAACAGACAGGCCTACTCACTGGGTTGCAGGTCACAGTGAAAACCTAGAGACCTTTTCCTGTGAGGGCTGCCTCTGTGAAATGACACCATGGGAAGGCAGACCAGACTCCGCGCTTCCTATGGGCAGCCGCTGTGCAGAAGAAGGTGCTGAGCTACCTTTGTCCACTTCTTCATCACACAGTCAGTCAGTCACGCCACATCCCACAAAGGAGTGACTTGGAAGGGCAGAAGATGGGAGTGTTTAGGGAACGTTTCTCTGCTGACAGTTTAAATAAACTCCCCTCTGCCTACTTTCCCCTGAAGGCTTGTTACCTCTGGCTTGACAGTCTCCCAGAAGTCACTGCTCCTCCTCAAGGCCCTTGAGAAATCATGTGTCCTACCATGATACCAGGGGACCACAATCCTGTCTGCATCTTCCTAGCCCCACTGATACTTCCGAAGTATTACTCTTGATCCTAAGCACACCAGCCCTCCCAGTGCCAGCTCTGATGCTCACCAACATCCCTCCCCCTTCTATTATCTGAGGGTCCAAGACCCTCTGAAACCAACCCTGAGACCTGATTCTCACTGGCCATAGTTCTCGATCCTTCTTCTCAGTACTCTTTTTCTGAGACAGAGTCTTGCTCTGTCACCCAGGCTGGAGTGCAGTGGTGCAATCTTGGCTCACTGCAACATCTGCCTCCCGGGTTCAAGCAATTCTCCTGCCTCAGACTCCTGAGTAGCTGGGATTACAGGTGTGTGCCACCAGGCCTGGCTAATTTTTGTATTTTTAGTAGAGACGGGGTTTCACCATGTTAGTCAGCCTGGTCTTGGACTCCTGATCTTGTGATCTGCCCACCTTGGCCTCCCAAAGTGCTGGGATTACAAGCACAAGCCACCACACCCAGCCCTTCCCAGTACTCTTATACTTGGTCTTCATGAAGACCTTCAGTCATTCTCCCACCTTTTTTCCTTAAATGGATTAGGTCTTTCTTAAATCTTCCTCATCCTACAACGTATTTATTTGCACATAAATAATTTTCAGTTCTCTTCAACTCTACTGTGTATGCCCAGAGCACAAACCCTCTTATTGGTTTTACTTTTTCCAGCTTTACTGAGGTATAATTGACAAATTAAAATTGTATACATTCAAGGTGTACAATGTGATGACTTGATATATATATACACTGAAATGATTACTACAAACAAGTTAATTATCACACTCATCACCTCACATAGTTACCACTGGTGGGGCAACATGGGGAGGAAACAAGACATACTCTTAGAAAAACTTCAAGTATACAATAGAGCATTAACGATAGTCACTATACTGTATGGACATTAGATCCCTGGACCTTCTTCATCTTATAACAAAAATATGTACGCTTTGACCCCCATCTCATATTCATCTTTGTATCACCAGCACCTCCAACACAGGACCTGGCAGACAGTAGGTGCTTACTGTTTGAAGAATTCAACTGACAAAACATAACACAAAAAAACATACATATGTTTAATTTATGAAGCAATGAAGTTTTCTTACCTGCTAGTGTGAAAGCTTTCTTTAAGGGTTTTAAAGAAGTCAGCATAATAGGTCACAACAATGGATGCCAAAATCCAGAATCCAGAATGGATATTAAGTCTTGGAAGAGGTTTCTCCTTTTTCTCAACAGCTGTAGAGGTTTCTGCAAATAAGGGAGATTTCAACTTAAGTTACCACAATTTTGTGAAGAAAAATTACACTTAATTTAAGCCAAATAAAATCACTTCTTAGAGCTTAGAATCAGAGTCTCTTCCATTATAAAAATCCTCTGTCAAACCCTTGAGATAAGTTTATATTTACAAAAAATAATTAATCAGAACCCACTATAAAATATAGTCAATACTGCCAATTTATTTTCTCTAAATATATTTTGAAATCAAATTTACATTTTCATAGTTTTTCTGAAATAATGCCACCTGGAAATGTAAGAATTGTAGTATGTTTCACATTTCTTCTAGGAAGGTAATTAGTCTTACTAATTAGGAAAAACACCAAAGGCAAATGTTAGCGCATGAAATGGACTTGTGATCTTCCAAGAACACTTTTATAATTATTATTATTTTTTTTTTTGAGTAGGAGTCTCACTCTGTCACCTAGGCTGGGGTGCAATGGCGCAATCTCAGCTCACTGCAACCTCCACCTCCCAGGTTCAAGCAATTCTCCCGCCTCAGCCTCCCAAGTAGCTGGAATTATAGATGCCCGCCACCACGCCCAGCTAATTTCTGTACTTCTAGTTCAGACGGAGTTTCACCATGTTAGCTAGGCTAGTCTGGAACTCCTGACCTCGTGATCCGCCCGCCTCAGCCTCCCAAAGTGCTGGGATTACAGGTGTGAGACACCACGCCCAGCCTATAAGTAAATATTTTAATTACTTTAAATACAGCTCAAAAGTGGAAATGGCACAACAAAGTTCTAGTTCCAGCACAGCACTATTTAGACAGGTGATGGACAAGTCATTTTTTCCCCGTCTGGAACCCAATCTGAAAGAACGGGTGAATGAGGAAAGAATGGGCGGATGAAGCCAGGTGCTGTGGCTCACGCCTGTAATCCCAGCACTTTGGGAAGCCAAAGCGGGTGGATTACCTGAGGTCAGGGGTTAGAAACCATCCTGGCCAACATGGCGAAACCCCATCTCTTTAAAAAAAAAAAAAAAAAAAAAAAATGAGTGGATGGGGGTTGGGTCAGATGGGTGATTTGGGTGATTACGAGAAAGTTTTCAGGGGATTCTGACATGCCCTCTCTCTATGTTCATGTGTGAATCACTGGTCTATATATGAGGTTTTGGGCCTTTAGATGACCATCAGAAACCCTGGGGAGCATGTTCATAATATTCTGGAATATCCTCAACACATATACATTATCATGCCTGGACATGATGTTATTCATGTTTATTTTGAAAAGGTCATAAATGGACATGGGTTTTAAACATTCGGGATAAAAATATCCAAAATGAAGTATCTGTCTCCCAATCTTAACCTCAGATCTAATGCCTAGAAGCAACCACCACTTACAATGTCTACTGAATTCTTCCATATGCTATGCATCTATAGGTGAACATACATCACAGGTTACCTTTTCGTACCCAAACGGCAGCATACGATACTGTTCTGCACCTCCCTTTGAAAATCATCCCCACTGGTACATACACGTCGGCCTGGCGTGCCATGTATAGATTTATCCAAATTTACTTAACCAGCTTTCTGCTGACGGGCAAGATAGCTATTTCTAGTCATTCGCACTGCGCACACATCTTTGTACACTGCGGTACAGGTATGTTTCTGGTAAATTCTTAAAACTTAGAAGGGGTGGTTATTTTTCATTTTAATCGATATTTCCAAACGGGTGTCAAATCAGCTCTCCACAGAATTCTGAAGCTCAGCTGAGATAAAAATGCACAGCACTACGCGATTCTAAGGATCTTTCCCGACATTTAAAGAATCGATTTGCAAAGCCGAAACTCGGTCCCTCCAGACTGGGCCGGGGCTGCTAGAGGCCGGTCGTTTTCCGGCGCCTCGCCACTGAGAACCTCAGGGCGGCTTGGTGCGCGCCTCACCCGGCCTGGGCTCACCCTCGCGGTGCAGCTGGGCCTCGGCGTCCGGCAGGAGCAGGAATCGCCGCCGGAGCTGCTGCCGGGCCTGGGTAGCGTCCATCTTGGTGCCGCCCTGAAATGCGACGGAAGTGACGTCCGACAAGGACTTCCGGAGTCGGCCTCGGAGCTGGGCTTCCTGGCGTTGGGGTCGGAGACTGTGTTGTCTTTGCGGTTTTAGTTAGCGAGCAGTTAGGGTGGAGTCGGCGTCGTGGATTCCGCTCTCAAACCAGCAAGGGGGATTTGAATTCGAAAACACTGAGCTTTCCGAGTCGAAAGGTTCCAGGTTTATTCCGACCTACGGAAGCCCAGGAGGACTAGGATTACCGCTGCCACGAGGTGCGTGCCGGGCCGCGATGAGCGACCGTGAGACGCTGCGTTTCCGAAGCTTTCGCAGGCTCCCGGGTGCCAGAGCCGGAGAGGTGCCCTCTGTCCAGGCCTCCCCTCTCAGCCCCCAGACTTTTGCCTACTTTCGCTTTTCAGGAGTCGCCCGGCACGACTTGAAAGGAGGAGGAGGGCCTGCTGGACAGGATGCTAGAGCCTGGCAGTGACCACTTGGGGGCCCCTGGGCATTCAATCAACTTCTTGGGCCCCGTTTCCTTATTATAGCTGGCTCTAGATTTGTTGTGCGTTTCGGTGAGAAACACCTGTATGTGGTGGTTCCCGTGCGCCTCCTCCTCCCCGCTTGTGAAAAATCGTCTCGGTGTGAAACGAGGGAACGACTTTCCTAGCCAACTGCCGTTTTCCATACTACTCCGGCCCACAAACCGTGTGTTACGAGTTCACAACTTTTTCTCCGTCAATAATCCCGAGTATTAGCCTCTCCACCCTTTCCCACGGAGTCTTGTGCTGAGAAACGGTGGCTTAGCCACGCAAACGTTTACTGAGCATCTGCTATTTGCTAGGCGCTGTTGGGCACCATGCTAGCGGTAGAGGTAAAGATGAGTAAGACGTTGGCCTTGCACGTGAGGAGCTCCTGGTCCAAAGACGACCACAGAGGTATACTACAAGGTAACTCAGTATTTACAAATGTATGAAAGCATCAATGCAGCCAACATTTTCTGAGCAACTGCATGTGATAAAATGGGGAGGACAGACAGAAGAATCTGGTAGAGAAAGCAGCTTCAATACGGTGCCACAATAGAAACACTGTACATAGGGGCTGAGGAAGTACCGAATAAAGGGCGGTTTATTCTGCCGAAGTGTGGGAGAGCAGGGAGAGTGACTTCAGGTGGGTTGAGGGCAGGGGCGGAGAGCCAGAGAGCTACATAGGAAGTAAAATTTGAATTAGTAGGCACTGTTTATTATCATCTATGTGTTGGGGTGTTTGTAAGAGGAATGTAATAAAAAAGAAGAAGAAAAGAGTGCCGGCTGGGCGTGGTGGCTCACGCCTGTAATCCCAGCACTTTGGGAGACCGAGGCAGTCGGATCACGAGGTCAAGCGTTCGAGACCAGCTTAGCCAACATGGCGAAATCCCGTCTCTACTAAAAATACAAAAATTAACCAGGCATGGTGGACGCTTGTAGTCCCAGCTACTCGGGAGGCTGAGGCAGGAGAATCGCTTGAACCTGGGAGGTGGAGGTTGCAGTGAGCCGAGGTCGGGCCACTGCACTCCAGCCTGGGCAACAAAGCAAGTGTACGTCTCCAAAAAAGAAAAAAGAAAGAAAAGAGTGCCACATCTCTACTGATTTATCATTTCTTAGCCTTTCTTCACCCTTTAGAGCACAGGATTTAACAGCTGGGTAGATCATATGGCCTTTCTAAACAATACCTCCTTTTTCCTTTTTTTTTTTTCTTTCTTGTTCTTTCAAGACTCCTAAAAAACTGGATTCATTTCTTCAAAACTAACGAGTCTTTGCCCTCCCATCTTCTCTCTCTCGAACAGGGTTAGAAGCCTTGTTAACAGGAAGTGAATTTGTCCCATCAAATACAGTCTTCTGTTTATTGTCTCCTCGAAAAAGGGTCAGTTCAGGGTCTCCCTGGTAATTGAATACTCCCAAGACATCACAGCTATCCCAGGTTCCCAGACATGGTATGTTCAGGTCAGATCAAGTTTCTCCTTTTGTGGTTTCAGGGCCTTTAAAATTGGATCTGAAATCCTTCAGCGTTTTTTTTCTCTGATATTTTAAATGGCACTACTTGCACACCGTATTGATGGTACTTAAAAGCAGGTTGGAAAAATTCCAGTACTTAATGACCATGTCTTCATTTCTGAGGTCCATTACAGAAGCCCTTTGGCGGGGTTTGGAGGCTCATGCCTGTAACCTCAGCACTTTGAGAGGCTGATGCAGGTGGGAGATCAGGAGTTTGAGACCAGCCTAGCCAACATGGTGAAACCCCATCTCTACTACAAAAAAAAAAAAAAAATTAACCGGACATGGTGGTGGGTGCTTGTAATCTCAGCTGCCTGGGAGGCTAAAGCAGGAGAATCACTAGAAGCCAGGAGGTGGAGGTTGCAGTGAGCCAAGACCTCCCCATTGTACTCCAGCCTGGGCAACAAGAGTGAAACTCCATCTCAAAAAAAAAAAAGAAAAGAAACCCTTCAGTGTGTGTACTGTGGCACCCTAATTATAGATAGATATGTGATGCCAGCCTTGCTACCAATTAAGAAATTTTCAATGTGGATTACTTGTGGGAAACAATTGAATTTCACTGTGACCTTTGCTGGCCTCCCCTTAGCAATGTGGATAAATCCAAGGTGTTTCTAGACTGTTGAATTCTGCCACCATCACTGTGAGTCCTTGGGCAAGTTATTTTATTGTTCTAAGTATCAGTTTACTCATCTGTGAAACATCGGGTGTTGGAGTGAAGAGAGTTGTATACAGATGGTTTAGCTTAGTGCCTGGCATATATACTTTGCCTTCAACAGTGGTAGTTATGAGTCACTACTCCTTAATTTGCTTACCGGGCCTTCAAGATCTGGGACTTGTTCACCCATTGATCAGTATTCCCTGTCCCTGGGTTCATGTCTCTCTTCCAAGAATTACCAAGCTTGGCTGGACACGATGGCTCACACCTGTAATCCCAGCACTTTGGGAGACTGAGGTGGGTGGATCACAAGGTCAGGAGTTCAAGATGAGCCTACCCAACATAGTAAAACCCCATCTCTACTAAAAACAAAATATTAGCCAGGCATGGTGGCATGCACCTGTAATCCCAGCTGCTCTGGAGGCTGAGGCAGGAGAATTGCTTGAACCCAGGAGACAGAGGTTGTGGTAAGCAGAGATCATGCCATTGCACTCCAGCCTGGGCAACAGAGCAAGACTCCGGCTCAAAAAAAAAAGAATCGCCAAGCTTTATAGCTATTTTCCTTTTGCCTGTGTTTCCCCCAGTAGATTGGGGAAAACCACCATGTCTTAGTATCGCTCGGTGCCTTGCAAACACTGAACACACAGCAGGAACTCCATTTCCCGTGCTTGCTTTGGTCCTTGAGCACAGCTAACTCTTCTTCAATACGGACATACCTGTGTCTGCCTACCACCCTTCCTCTTAGAAACCACTGTTGTTTTCTATAGTGGCTCTGCTTGGTTCCCAGAGACTGACCCTGTCCTAGGGGAGGGCACAAGACTCAACACAGACCTCTCATTCTCCAGGTCTTAGGCTGGGAAGATGCTCACGATTGCTTTGACAGAGGGAGCTCTGACGTCGGTTGGGCTTGGGGCTGCTATTCTGGAAACAGGGGAGCCCACGTGGGAAGGAAGCGCTGAGAGGCAAGCTAAGAGGTCTTGGTAGCACTGTGCCAGCTCCCAGATCTAGCCAACCCTTAGTTAACCCTGTTAAGGCACTGCGCTCTGGAGCTAGCTGCCTGCCTGGCTGGCATTGCCAGTTCTGTCATTACTGGCTCATTCAACTTACAGCAAGGGTCTTATCCACTCTTTGCCTTAGTTTCCTCAGTTGCAAAATGGGGTTAAAATTAATACCCACCTCATAGGATTGGGTAAAGATTAAAAGTATTAATACATGCAAATTCCTTAGAGCAGCCCATAGAAAACTCTCCCTAAATCTTAGCTGTTATTATCCATTGCTGAGACTTAACAGATTGTCAAATTTTTCCTTTTTTTCCAAATTAAGTTTGAATTTTTTGTTACTTGCAACTCTGAGGCCAGAGCAATACTACCCTGTTCTCTCATCGTGCTGTGTCACTGACCCTTGGTCCTCAGGTATTCTGTGAGCACCTCCAGGAATGAGAATACAGGAAAACCTCTTAGAAAAGCACCTGGCATGTGGAAAGTGCTCAGTAAATGTTAATATCTATAATTTGGGATACTGTTCTTCATTCCAGGAAGAAAGCTAGTATTAAAAAGCTCTTCCATTTATTGTATAAAAACGCAATGAAATGTGTGCCTCTTTCTACATAGCTGTAATTATTCCACCGATAAAAGCTATAGCAGTGGAATCACTAAGTCAAAAGATGTGAACATTTTAAAGACTTTGGATTGATATTTTCAAACAAGCTCCAGAAAGGACGTACCGTGCTACTGTAGTTTAAATTCCCACCAGCAGAGGGCAGGAGAGGCCATCTTCAATGTTTGCACCAACAGTGGGCTTTATCGTTCTGATTTTCTCCCAGTTGTTAGTTGTTGGCCAGGGGGACCTGCCATTTTAATTTGCTTTTCTTTGCAACAGATTTTTTTATGTTAATCGACTATGTAATATCTTTTTCCTTTTGGAATTTTCATTTTTGCATATTTTGATCAAGGCTATCTTTGAACGTCAGATATGTGGCAAGTCTACTTTTTTTCTAGTTTGCCTTTTAAGTTTGATCATGTTCAACATACATTTTGGTTTATACCTAAGTTTTGTTTCATACCTATGTTTTGTTTTTCACTTATCATACCCTGTGTTGAAGAGAGTTTGAATGGGCTTGCCCCGTAGAGTCTAAGTGGAGAAGCATATCCCTGGAAAGTGTTCAGTCGATGTTAGTGTCTATCACTCAGGGGATGTACTGCATGGTAAACACCGCTTGAACCATCTTCAGGTGAGCCTAGTTATTCCTCACCCATTCATTACTCAAACTAGCTGTACCGTGAGAGGTTCTACCCACAACTGAAACCAGCTTTAACCAGCCGGTCACAGTTAATACTGTCAACTTGATTGGATTGAAGAATGCAAAGTATTGATCCTCGGTGTGTCTGTGAGGGTGTTGCCAAAGGAGATTAACATTTGAGTCAGTTGGCTGGGAAAGGCAGACCCACTCTTAGTCTGGGTGGGCACCGTCTAATCAGCTGCCAGTGCAGCTAAAATATAAAGCAGGCAGAAAAACATGAAAAGGCAAGACTGGCCTAGCCTCCCAGCCTACATCTTTCTCCTTTGCCAAATTCCTCCTGCCCTTGAACACCACATGTTCTCATGTATAAATGGGAGCTGAACAGTGAGAACACATGGACACAGGGAGGGGAACAACACACACTGGGTCCTATCCAGGGGCAGTGGGCGGGGAAAACATTAGGGAAAAGAGTTAATGCATGCTGGGCTTCATGCTTAGGTGCTGGGATGATCCGTGCAGCAAACCACATGGCACACGTTTATGTAACAAATGTGCACATCCTACATATGCACCCCAGAACTTAAAAAAGAAAATCACTAACATCAATGTGCAAACTTAGTTTGAACAGAGTGTATGAGGAAATCCCCCTGACAACCTTAGAAAAGTCTAAGTGTTGTAAGGTTGTCCCTGGAGGATGGATCCACACACAGTGACGAGTCAGTTGGACGCTGTACTCTCCCTTTGGGCATCACCCTAACATCAACATCACAACTCCTGAGGACACTTGCTGACCCTCAAGTTAAAAAAGACAAAGGAGAGAAAATGTCAGCCTTTCAAGATTGGCAACGGTGAGCAGAATGCCCAGCTGCGAGGGGAAGGACAAGCACATCTGGAATCCCAGCCTGGGTGCTGTGATGGGGCAGGAAGCAGACCTGACATTCAAGAACCGACACAGCACCTGGCACAAGGAGCCCTCGAGATACAGTAGCTAAGTCGGGCGATGGCTCACCCCTGTAATCCCAG